AAGGCCCAGTAGAAAGCGAATGCCCGAAGGAGAAAAGGGCGAGTGAAGTTGGAGCTTTGAAGTGTGGGAACTGGGAGGGATCTCTTCTCCTGAGGTTTTTGTGTTGGTTCCTGGATGCCTCCTAGGAATCCCAGGCGATGCCACAAACGTGTTTCATATGCAAGGCGGTGGCGCACAGGAGGACAGCAAAGTGTCCCATCCCCGTTCCCCCAGGCAGAATATTGTGTCCTGAGGGCTTGGAAATGCTCTCTTGTTCATAAAATGTGTGAGTAAGGAGGAGGCAGTACACACGCCCGCCTTGGCTGCAGATAGGAGGCAACCGGCCGACCTTGAGGCGGGGCGTCTGGTCCTGACGGGTTCTTGTCTGGCTGCCTGCAGCTGATCCTGCCCAACGTGGACGTGCAGTTGAAGTACTTTGACCTGGGGCTCCCGCATCGGGAGCAGACAGAGGACCAGGTCACCGTTGACTCAGCCTTGGCCACTCAGAAGTACAGCGTGGCTGTCAAGTGTGCCACCATCACACCTGATGAGGCCCGTGTGGAAGGTACGTGGAGAAGGCGAGACTAGCACAAGGCAGAGCGTCGCCCGGAACTCCCCCTCCTGCTCCGCCGTGGGCCCCACTTAGACAGCAGGTGCTCGTGCAAAGCGGTTTGCTCCAGATGGAGGAGGGAGGTGGGCAAGCAGTTCTGCCCCAATGCCAGAGCGGTGGAAACCGCTTCTCCCCTGTCGCCCCTGCAGAATTCAAGCTAAAGAAGATGTGGAAGAGCCCCAACGGCACGATCCGGAACATCCTGGGCGGGACGGTCTTCAGAGAGCCGATCATCTGCAAGAACATTCCTCGCCTGGTCCCGGGCTGGACGAAGCCCATCACCATTGGGAGACACGCTCACGGCGACCAGGTTGGCGAGGAGGGAGGGGAAGGGGTGCCCCTCTAAGGCATCAGCTGGCCCATCCGAAGCGGCTTCATCTGTGCTGGGTATCCAAGTGCCCCATCCCGATGGGGGGGTGCGCTACCGAACGCTTTCTGAACGGCTGAAGGAGAGGGCGTGGGAACGGTCTGTCTCCCTTCGTATCATCATCTGGGTGTTTGGATATCTCTGCGTTTCCAACATGTTTTTGTACTGCCACAACCACGTATGGAAGTTAATAGTATCAGCCAAGTTGCTAATGTTTAAAAACATGAAACTTCCACACTTTGTTCAGGGTTTAATAGTTGAATGTTTACAGGACCTGGAAGCTGTTAGGCGAATGTGAGGATGGGGATGGGAGGCACTCTGCTGATCTGATCCTGAAGCATTTCTCCAAATCCCTGAACCCAGGCCCCAATATATTGAAAAGAAAAGTGCGAAAAAACTTTAATCATCATCATCCCAGTCACAGCTTCCCAGCATGCCCCTGCAGGGGCCACCACCCCTCTGAGGGACAGACAGGTTCTCCTTGAAAGACTGTCCCCAATCTAAGCTTGCTGTAACATTTGGGACAAGGACAGGGACCAAAGAGAAACAACATAAGGGACACACAACAGGACATTTCCGGGAGGAGGCAGGAGAGCTGATGTGACAGGCAGAATTGTCGGGAAACGCGCACGGGGTGAAGCAGGGTGGGTGGGTGGGTGCAGACATAATGAATCTGTTAAATCTAACCATAGCGCAAATCCTCAAATTATTCTGGGCCCCTGATTAGACCAGATGTTACAAATACAGGGGTAGGGGAAAAACGTAATGAAGCTACAAACCTCGGTCTTAAGCCAGAACAAGGGAGGAAAATGCAAGTATTCTAATTAGGCTGTTCCGAGGTCTAAGACTGTTCCCAGCTGCATGCTGGACTCTCCTTAGGAGTGTTGGATGGAGAAACAAGCAATGGTTGATCCTCCTGGGGTTATCATTTTGCAAACCATTACTTACTTTTTCATCTTGCCTAAAAAAATGCAGAGTTCTTGAAAGTTTGCACTTTGTTTTTAGCTTGGCTTAATAAACCATCCTAGATGGATTCTGAATTTATTTTCCTTACAGCCTTTGCTTTTTGTATGATAGGGTTGGCTGTAATAACCTCAGCGTTCTGCTTTTCAGTACAAAGCCACAGATTTCGTGGTGGATAAATCAGGGACCTTTAAGATGGTTTTTGTGCCCAAAGATGGCAGTGGAGCCAAGGAGTGGGAAGTCTTTAATTTCCCAGGCGGAGGTGTCGGCTTGGGCATGTACAACACAGACGAGGTGAGGGGGAAGAGGCAGTGGCTTGGGCAGAGAGGGAGGGCAACGGCTCCCAGGCCCTGCACTCCCTAGGGAGTGCCCAGGCCCATCTCTGTGGGGGTCTGGCCAGCTGACTCTTCCAGAGCTGGCCCTCTGCCCTGGAGAGGGAGGGAGCGGCTCTGGAAGCAGGCTGGTGACTGGTTCAGCCATCCTTCGGGCACATCCCACTGAGCACATGGCCTGCCTCTTGCAGTCCATCTCAGGTTTTGCCCACAGCTGCTTCCAGTACGCCATCCAGAAGAAGTGGCCGCTCTACATGAGCACCAAGAACACCATCCTCAAGGCCTACGATGGGCGGTTCAAGGACATCTTCCAGGAGATCTTTGACAAGTGAGCCCTTTAGCCCAACGTTACTGTGGGTGGAAGTAGCCCCCTTGGCTCTTTGAACAACGGGTGTCCAGCGCCAGCCCTCCTGCCAGGCCTCTGGTGCCCCTTGCAGAGTGCTCCCCACTGAAAATGGTCCAGGGCTGATCTTGCATGCTACCAGCCCTGTTTGAAGAGCGTTCCTGTCCTACCTCCCTGTCAGGCACTACAAGACCGAATTTGACAAGCTCAAGATCTGGTACGAGCACAGGCTCATTGACGACATGGTGGCCCAGGTGCTGAAATCAGCTGGCGGCTTTGTCTGGGCTTGCAAGAACTACGATGGAGATGTCCAGTCCGACATCCTGGCCCAGGGTACTGACTGATCCTGCCTGGGGCATGTAGCCAAGGGGATGGAGTTCCTAGGCAGGGCCGGGCGCGGGAGCTTGCTGAGTGGCTAAGAGAGCAGAACCGAGGCAGCCGCATAACAAGCAGGGCTGCTGAAAAGCCCATCCTGGGCCCTTGGCATCTGGCAAAAGCCCTCCCGGGCATCAGGCAAGAGCCCTCCCTCCTCCCCTCAGCTGGTGCTGCTGGGCCAGGG